GCCCTGCTCTGTGTGTGACAGGGGGCGGTGCCCCAACCCCCCAATTGGCCCTACCCTGAGCGTGACTGAGGGTGGCATCGCAACCTCCTGATCCGCCCTGCTCTGTGCATGACGGGGCGGCGCCCCAACTCCCCAATCGGCCCTGCTCTGAGCCTGACCAGGGGCTGCACTTAGGGATTGGGCCTGCCCTCTGCCACCCGGGAGCAGGCCTAAGCCAGCAAGTCGTTATCTCCCGAGGTGTCCCAGACTGGGAGAGGGCACAGGCCGGGCTGAGGGACCCCCCTCCCCCCGCCCCCGAGTGCACAAATTTTTGTGCACCGGGCCTCTAGTACAATATAAAAGGTAAAGTGTGTATGTGTGTGTATGCACATGTGTGTGTACACATGTGCACACACCGTTGGGGGCAGAGGGAGGGCTGTGGAGAGAGGAAGTACCAGAGGGAGGAAGGAGAACAGACATTAGGAGGAGGGCGGGAGGAAGGGAGAGGGGGAAAGAAGAAAATGGGAGAGAAAGGGAGAGCAGAGATCAGAAGAGACCCAGAGAGATAAAGCATGCAATGAAAAATAATAAAAGAAAGAGGAGGAGGAGAAAGAGAGAATGCATAAGAAGGGGAACGGGACTGGAAAGAAAGAGTTAAAGAGAAATGGAGGGGATGGAAATGAGTTTGTGCAGGGGTGTGTGAATGTGTGTGTACCCAGGGGCAGACGTGGGCGGGCTTCCACACTCACCTCCACCTAACCCATTCCTTTTGCTCCCTCACCAACTCCCTGTCCCATCCTCAGGCTGGCACAGGGCAGGTGAACAGCATGCTTATCCACTCTATTGAAACCACCCAGAGCTGGCAGACTATTTCCTTATAATCCATTATCATTTTATGGGACCACCATGGTATATGTGGTTAGTCATTGACTAAATGTCTTTATGTGGTACGTGACCATACTCTCTTAGGTTTTTTTGTACTTAATTGCTGAAGTTAAGCAGGGACACTTTAAGGATTTCCTGCATGCATTATGGCTTTATTTTCAAAAAATAAAATGATAAAACTAGATGATGATTATTCTTTATGATTAATTTTGACATACTGATTTTGCTGTTTATTAGCACAATTTGGCAAAAAAAAGAAAAGATTTCAAATTAATAAGCAGGTTGGCTCTAGCAAAGATATAAACATATCCTCTAATGTAGTCCCCTTATGAAGGCAGTATTTTTAAACCAACAAAGACCATTTAAACATAAATTATACTAAATACTGTCTGTTGCTTTACTCTTTTCTTTTTAAAATAAAACCAAACAGTCCTGTTTGGGTAACTCAATTGGTTAGTGTTGGCCAACTGAGTTAGGGTTCACTCTCTAGTCAGGGCACATACAAGAAGCAATCAATGAATGCATATATGAGTGGAAAAACAAATTAATTATCTTTCTCTCTTTCTCCTCTTCCTCCTATTCTTCCTCCACCCATCCTCCTTCCCTCCTCTCTCTCTCTTTGTGCTTAAATTTACACTTTATATTTCATCAATAGTATTTTCCCACTTGTGATACCTGTTTTCTTTCCAAAGAGTTAAAAATAAAGTAGCAGTGTAATGATCTCTTACCATATCCATATATCATTTGATAAAAATTGATTTACTTATTTCAGAAATTTAAACCTGTTGTCAGGTTTAATAAAATCTTTTAGAAAGACCAATTTTATCCAACTATGGTCATCAATCATCTAATTTAAAGACAAATATTATTTATTAACCAAAAGCTTTCATATGTAAAATATCAACACATTAATTTTCATCAACGTAACATGAAATCCAATGACTCATCTTAAAAGCAGATTCTCATTTTGTAGGATTCTAGTCAGGTGGAACTGTTAAAATGTGTGAATTGATTTCGATATGCCAGGTTTCGAGCAGTTTTCTTATTTGGCTCACCTCTTCTTCCCATGCTATATCTGGGGACAAAATAGAAAGATGACTTTTTGATCTCAGAAAGGTCCTAGGACAGAGGCCCTGGTGACTTATAGAGAAAGAATTGGGTGCGTTTGACATAGTGGTATACTCTTCCTCATCCTCCTGAGAGCACTCATGAGATGATCTCTGAACAAGAATGCAGCAGTGGAAAGATTCAATTATAATTTCCCAAGAAGGTCCCTGAACAAGGCTGTGAAGCCAAAGCCTTTGTTATATAAGTCCTCCTCTAAATAAGCTCTATGTGTTGAGCATGTGTGAAAGTCACAACACCTGTGGCTAGGGAGCAGGCTGCAAGAGAAGATGCTGATCTCAGGAGCTTTACCTACACCAATTTAGAGAGAAGCACTTTGGCATTTTCTGGACACTGTTGTCTTCAAGGTTTTATTGAAATATGCAACCATTGTAACATTTTGACTTTTAATACTTGGATCGGGTTCTGTGTTTTTAAAATCATCTATAAATTATGCAGAAAGAAATTTGTTCTGACAAGCGTAGGAACATGATTCATTCAGAGCCAGGCAGAAAAATATTAGCTAGTATAAAAGGCCAGATCCATAATAAATTAAGTTCTATGTCATTTACTAAAATTCCTATTGAGGATACATCAGTGTCTTGCTTTATATAAAAATGGAACTTTTGTCAGGGTCTACTTTAGGGGACTGTGTAGAGAGATTTGCATATGTCCAGGAAAGACCTGCGAAGGTCCTAATCTCTCACCTCTGCCAGACATTGAGCCTTTGCACAGCAGGAAGTGAGAGATAAGGTAGAGTTACAAACTCCCCACCAGAGTATTGACTCCATCCCCAAACATGCATACATGAGCCTCTTGGCAAAAGCTGGGACACATAGTAGTCCAGAGAATTTAAGGAAATCTTGGTCTAATCATTAGCTGATCACAAAAATCTAACTCAGCAGTGACTTTGTGGCCACACATGAAAAAATACAAACTTTAGAGAATTCAGAAAAGTCACTAAGCAAAAGCAGCAGCAACAACAATGACAATAACCACAATAAATAGACAAAACTACAAACCCTGGAGATGAGAGAGAAATCTGATTTCCAGAGTTGCCACATTACATTATTTAACATGTCTAGGTTTCAACAAAAAAGTGCAAGATATGAAAAATGGAAAGATTGGCCCATAAATAGGAAAAAAAAAGGCAATATAAACTGTCCCTGAGAAAGCCCAGGCTTTGAACTTACCAGAGAAAGAAATTAAATCACCTGTTATAAATATGTTCAAAAATTAAGGAAACCATGTCTAAAACACTAAAGGAAAGCATGAGAACAATTTTTCACCAAGTATACAATATCAGGAAAAAGTTTGACATTATATAAAAAAAAGAACCTGGAGTTTAAAAGCATAACTGAATTGAAAAATTTACTAGAGGAGCTTAACAACAGTTTGAGCTGGCACAGAAAAAAATTAGTGAACCTGAAGATAAATTGAGATTATTCAGTTTCAGGAACAGAGAGATTAAAGAATGAGGAAAGCCCTGGCTAGTGTGGATCAGTTGGTTGCATATTGTCCCATGCACCAAAAGTTCACCAGTTTGAATCCTGATCAGGGTACATTCCTGGGTTGAGAGTTTGCTCCCCAGTAAGGGTGCATATAGGAGGCAACTAATCATTGTTTCTCTCTCCTCTCCCTTCCTCTGTCTCTGAAATCAATAAAAATATATATTTTTTAAAAATGAGGAAAAATGAAGAGTCTCAGAGACCTATGGGACCCCATCAAGTATACCAACATGTTCATATTGGGAGTCCCAAAAGGACAGTAGGGAAACGATGGAGCAGAAATTACATTTCAGGAAATAATGGCTGAACACTATCCAAATTTGATGATAAACATTTATCTACATGTCCAAAAAGCTAAAAAAAATTCTCATAGTCAGATGCAAAGAGAATCACACCTAGATACCTCATGTTAAACTGATGAAACAAAAAACAGTGGGAGAATTCTGAAAGCAATAAAAGAGAAATGACTCATCATATCAA